AGCCCAAGGTTTGAATAACAAAATTATTTATTTACCTAAATAATACACTTATTTTTTGTTTAGCATGTAAGACTTATGCAGTGCACCTGTGAATACAGGTACATCACAATTTTTTTTATGGTGAAAAAGTTCTCAATATTTTGAGTCCTTTTCATCCTAATCCTGCTCTCTCCCTATAACTGTCTGTCCCTGTAGAAATCGTGCACATTGTTTTGGTTACTTTAGGTCAGAAAAATGACTCACTAAACTGAAACACACATGCTAGATATCACATGTAATTATTCACTATAGCATACTTTCACCTAAACAACTCTCACTCCTTAAAATATTCTTCAGAAATATTTAGTTCAAAAACGTGCAAGCTTGAGGCTTCTAATTGTGACGTTTGTGACACCGTCTTAGGGTGCAGGCCAGAGCATGTGAGCGGGGAGCGTGAGCGGGGAGCGGAGCGGGCGGAATTTAGTCAGAGCGCGGAGCGTTTTTTTAATTAAGTCTGGAGCGGTCGCTCTGTCTCGCTCCAATTTCTCTCCGATACCGCTCACACACTACGATTCTGAGGCGTGCCCAAATCTACCCAGAATTCAAGACACAAATTGGCTGAGATGGAATTCGCAAAGTATTTCACAAAGGAAACTGATAGATAATACAAGTGTAATATTCTTATCAAACGTATAGATGACAATAATGTAGAGCAAGAACAACATGTGGTGAAACTGTTTCAGTGAGTAAAGATTCACTTTGGAATAATTTTTCTCAGAAACATGAGTGTTTTACGCGAACAGGCGGAAGCCAGAGCAAAACGTGAGCAAGTTTTATATGGTTGTAGTATATCAAGTCTATAGATTAAAGTATAAAAGCCTATATTGGTAAATATTGGTAATGAAATAAATTCGTTTTGTCATTCAAAGTAGGTCTAATATGATTTTTTTAATTTCACGTAACGCTGTCAGTGAAATTTTATTTTATAGACAAACAAAGCAGCATCATCAACAGAAAAAAATTGAGGAATTTAAAACGTGGATGCTTATAGCCTGTATATTCTTTAGGCTATTAAGCCCATTGATTCCTTTATTTATAAGCCTATTTTTGTGTGGAATGCCATTGCCAAACGTGTCCGTTGTTGCCTATATGTTGCTTAAAAATAAATATCTTCTGAGTGGCAATGTTGCCGTTGCTCATATTTCTTCATGATACAAGGCTTCGGTTTAAGGTAACATTTGTTAGGTATGCCGATTATTTGTCCCTCTTAAATTGGAGCGAGCGTGGAGCGATTTGACTGGAGCAGGAGGAAATTTTAGTGGAGTGAGGAGCGGTGTTGAGCAGAGCGGCGTAGTGCGAATTAGAGCGAAGGAGCGGGCGGAGCCAACAGCCTCGTGAGCGAGGAGCGGAAATTCTCACCGCTCC